AAAATATATTTTATGGTGATAAGAAAACAGCGCCATCTTGAGTACGTAAATAAATTTTATTGGTGTTTGTTCAGAATACCTCGCATTGTTAGGCGTTCGCAGTTTACAAACCACATTTTTATACCTGATAATGCCAAGTATGCGCTTCGAAAAGATTATTAACGTATACGACATTTGAATCAAAACTTATTGACGAGGTGTTAATAGTTGCAGAGAAAATTGCATTCCCTGCATGAGGAATAAATTTGAGATATGATTTTATCAATAAATATGTTAAAAATGCATGATAAATTAAACTTTTTAATATCTTGAGCGTATTATTTTCTATTTTCTAATTCATACGAGCTCTGGAATAACGAGATGAAATAGTGAAAAAAAAATCTGAATTTTAGGAATATATTTGGAATTGTGTAAGCAAGCGACAGCGCAAGGAAATAAACGAATTAAACCGATCACTATAATCAAGGTAGGTTGCTTTGTGGATAATATGATTATTATACTAAAGTATAAAGTAATACTGCATTTCTGATTTATTCATATATATTAATTATTAATATATATAGCATAATGAGCCAAATAAAAATAGTAAAAACGATAGGAGCCAAAACTATCTGTAACTGCAGCACAAAGATTTTTTTTTCGCGTGCTCAACTCGAGGGTGTGATGTAGGTTTGGCTCCATTATCAATCATCTTTTAAAATAACAATCTTGACTTTACAGCATTAATATAGATTGACAATACTTTCGATTGTACACGAATTGTAAACAATGGAAATTCCCAAATCGTTCTTAAAGGAGATTAAATCTTCAGATTGCGGTTTACTCAATTTTCTACGTAAAAGTTGGCTACCATGGTTGCCATATTCCAATAACAATTAAAAAACGCTTATGGCAAATCGTATTTATAAAGCTTCCGTGGTAAATATCACCATTTTGCTTTTGAGCTGCCGATGAAATGAAACGGTTTATTCATTTTCTTGTCTGGCTGTGCGTTAGCCCGGCCTTCTGCTCGGCGGGAGGTCCACTAAGACGGGATAAAGCGCCACCACCACCACCAGAATGCCAACTAAAAAGACCACCGTAAGTGAACTGCGATTGCTTATATTTTTTAAGCGTATTATTTTTTTTATAATATTGTAATTATACTTTCTTGGTAATCTAATTCTAATTCACCCATATCCGTTTCAATGTAAGTCAAATTGTCATTAATACGAATTCGTTTATATATATATAGAAAAGTCGTTTAAAAAAAGTTTAAACAAGAGGTCCTGTCATTTAATTATTTTTTATTCATTTCACATTTTTCTAAATATTTTCTATAAATTATATTAGATTGAACAATCCGGATCCCTGTCCCATGCATGTCTATTGGGAACACAGATGTTTGCCTCCGAAACCATGTTTATTTACAATTAAGAAAGGGATTGTAAGAGAAAAAGGCGTGAAACATTACGTGAAACTGTCTCTTCCAGTAACACACTTATCTCGAGAATGCAAGTATGTGAAATATCTGTTTTATTGAATGAAATTTCAAAAGTTGCATGTTACTAAATATTCTTCAATGTTACAATTTTAATAAGACAGCTGAAAAATCTACGTTACCTATTCAAAGTATAATTTCACATCACACAAATTCGTTACACTCGCAGAAAATTAAATTGTATTAATCTAATTTTATTTTCAGAAAATATGGCAAAATATGCAGTCCTGGAAAAAAATATTGCACATGCCAGCACAAGGGAGAGTGGGTTAAGATAAAGGCTTGGGTACTTTGGAAAAAGAACAATTTTCATATTTCTGCTCTCAAAAAAGTTGAAGCGCTAGTAAGTTAATGAAAGGGGGCAAAGCCTGACAAGATTGATTAAAATTATCCTGGCAGATATTGTAATGGCTTCTGTTTTCAAAATAGAGTTTGCTTGCAACATTGGTCTTAAAAATGGCTATTCAATGTATCACTAATAAATACTTCGCGATGTAATAAATCACTGTCAACGGAAACCGAATTCGATTGCAACAGAAGCCACTTATCATACATGTGATATAATACTAAGATTTAATACTTTATCTGAGACTTATGTTCTGACCCTTAATCTGTATTTAAATTGTCAGTTATTCCGAGATATAAAAATATTTACTATTTTTTCTCTGGTAATCTAATCTAATATGTAATTGTGATTACCAAAGCAACCCGTAGTCACATTACTATTTTCTAGCTTATCCATTCACATTTTAGCCTTCATTTCTTTTAATATTATTTTATAGGTCCCGGGTGGATGTATGTGTGCAAGGAGAAACATAGTATCTTTCGTACCATAATATCTTTTTATCGTAAATCATATTACGGAAAAAGCGATTTATCAAGTTGACAATAAATAAATTGATATCGATGCATTTTTATTATTTATGCCATTCATGTGGATCAGTATTCAATTTGGGCGATTTCGCACCATTTTATTAGAAATGGTGAAGAAGTTCATGTCAGTAAAGTTATCACATCACGACTGCGACGATATTTCCGTGATATATGATTTATTCAGACAGCTGAAAATTAGATACAATTCAAAACTAGATACAGAATTCAAAGTATAAATGCAACATGTCGTAGAAACGAAGGACATGAATAACGAATAGCGTATTGAGTTATCCTTATCATTTTGAAATTGCGCGGTTAATAGTTAGGGTTCTCCACTGAACAAATCATCAACCCAAACAATCCCCTCTCAGGATCGAATTTGCCGAACTTGGAAGATTACTAATCTTCTGAATACATAGAAGCTGAGATGTGCACTTGTTAAAAAAAACGAAAAAAAACTTTAGATCACAACATTAATAATTAAATAAATATAGGGGGTAAAACGTTTCAAATATAACTAAAATTGCCTAGCTGTTTAGCTATGTTTAGCTATGAATGGGACACAAGCCATGCACCCTTTTGTGGAGTAAAGAATTGTATATAGCGTCTAGTTTTTCAGATGAAAAAAATAAATAAAGTTGAAAATAAAGACTAGCACTGAATAAACTTCTTTTATGTAAAATCATCAATAGAGCAATCATCCAATGCTTGGGTACTTCTTCCCCAAGAAAGAGTTCCCTAAGAGAGAGTAGTTTGTGCGTTAGACTAATGTGTGGGGTGGTGCCGAGTCAGCTAGAGTCCAGTGGTTCCCAACCTTTTTTTAAGACACTTAAATTTTGTCAAAAAATAAATTTCGTAAAATCTCGCACCGAGGATATGCTTAAATACTAAAAGGCATGTAGTGCTTCTATTGCCGCAAAATTAAATTATAAATACAAAAAAAAATCTACAATATTATTAAGCAACATTTCAATACCAAATACAAAATAAACAATAAAATCCACTAGAAAATAAAATCACCTTTAACAATAACGAGCAATCCAGTTTTCGGTCGCGACCCGAAGGTTGGGGAAAATGAATTAGTCCATTTTACTCTACTAGGGTGATTATGCGCAATGGGGTTTCTTGACTCATGTTATTCTTTTCGTTTAATTATTCAAATAACCACACTTAGCTTACAAAAATTCATATTGAACAAATAAGAAATAATTTTCCCTAATTCCCAGTCGAAGACGTGGGTTTCAATTAAATGACGACATACCTTGATGAAGACATCATTTGATATTAAACTGGTTAAAAAGTTGTGCACAGTTTTCGACTACAGCGCCGTCAAAATAGCATTTTGGCGTACTCTTATTTCTTTACGCAGCTGATAGCTTATTTAAAATTCATAATATGCTAGGATAAGTTTAAATTGGCCATAAACTGTGGCATTCAAAAATATTGACTATTGGTGAACTTTTTATCATTTTGTAATGACACATAACGATCTATCTACATATACAAGCAATGTATACACTGCAACAAAATTGGCAGAGATAAATACAGTTTTAGCGAAATACAGAATATAAAAACGATAGCTTTTGTCTGCATTTGCTTTGTCAAAAATACAAGAAAATTTGAAATCAGGAAATTATTATTTTAAGCATACATTTTTAGATGAAAATAACGCATGAGTTTTATAATGAGGAATATTTTTGAACGTAGATACGTAGATAAAGACATAGTTTGTTTGATGCTAATCAATAGAAACTTCCTTCTGGATATATATTGCATATTTAAGCAGTACAGGAAAATATATTTGCAAGCATCATCTTTATTTGAATAATAGTCATGGTTTCAGGAAATCTTAAAATGCTAAAAAAAATGATCTTATTGTGCGAAAATGGCGAAACTAAAGAATAAAATGGTGGAACGATATCGGCTCTAAAAGAATAACAGTATTAGTAAAATTTAGGGTTTGCGCAAGGCAGTTCTTAGATCAGCGAACCAGTTCTTAATTTTTGTTTTGTCCCTGTTCTGAAATCTGTTGATAGCGAGTTTTACAACAAAAAACTGTTTTCAAAATTTCGAATCCCACCACTCACTGATGGGGATATCATCAGAAATACTATTGTGACAAAACAAGTTGAATGGGCGAAATATACATAGCTGTGCTTTCAAAGTTTTTCGTTATTTGAATACGGTTAACACGGATAATTTACCAAATTACTGTTCTGGTTTTTACCAATACGACCATTATCTAGAATAGATAATAAAATAAATGTGTGCCGTATACTGGAGTGAAAAAAATATTTAACTAAAATTATTAAAATCGAAGCCGCGTGGCATTTGTTTTAGTTTTAATTTAGCATGCGTCAACAGCAATGCCGCAAGCAAAGATTCCCGGAATATATGCTTCCAATCAAATGAACGTTGCGGTATTATCGCATGTCAGCAGCAATTGTCATAACATTGGAAATTCCCATTCTTCCATTAATTCTACTTATAATACCGCTCCATCTGTAACAAGTACTAGTGTTATGAAGATGTTCCCGAAATTGTTTTTCAGCCTTTAACAATCGTGACGAAAATAGGTTTCTGTGGTTTTTTAAGAATTTATATAATCTGGGTTATGAATGCCGAAGTCATCAGTTGCTGAATTTGCTGCGTTACAATGAAATTTGCAGTTTTTTGTATTGTACTTGTTTGTGTGACTGCGGGTTGGTCTGTGCCGCCTGACGAACCCAAAGACGTGCCCCCCCTGCCTGTTCTTCCGCCGTGCAAACTCAAAAATCCACCGTGAGTATATACTGTCAAAAATATTGGCACCTAATATTTTGTCTTTCTTATATTTATGAATATTTTATATTTGTAATGAAATTTTGCTTCAGATGGAAAAATCCAGAACTTTGTAGAGAAAAGAAAAAGTCTAAATGTTTTCCGAGAACTTGCCTCTTTACAATAAAGAAGGGATACATTTACATAAATCGAAAAAAGATGGAGGTTAAAGTTACGAAACCGAAAAAGATAAAAGTTGTTGAGTGTCGGTAGGTTAAATCCATGTATTGTGATATTACCTACATATGTGAACGAAGGTAGAGAATAATTCATGAATTGGTAACTCGGTACTTAGGATTGGCCAAACGGTATTTCGACATGATTTTATCACTTCCATTTATGACTGACCTTATCTGTCAACCTTTTGATAAACGTTGATCTTGATTTTTACCCAATCCAGGTGTAATTAATCGGACAGAATGAACCGCAGACAATTTAGATAAATCTAATGGCAAAAATATTCTACTACTAGAGAGAGATGGAATTAAATGACTTAAATATGCCGAAAAATGTTTTGATTAATTAATCGACATCGCTATATTATTCGTACAAATATTTGATAATATACGAAAGAGTGCTACTTTATAGAATGTAATTAAATTATTTTTCAAAATATATGAATAAAAATAATTACAGGAACTATCTGGATAAATGCAGCAACGAGATTTCCTTCCCATGTAGATGCAAATATATGGGGAAAAGAATCTTTGAAGACTTGTATATCGCAAAGAAAATTAAAGGAAAATGGAAATCTGTTAAAACTTGGGTTCAAGTCAATGTAAGTCTTGTGAATGTCATCATTTCAATGCAGATTTCGTAACAAATATAAAGTCCATTAATGGCTTAAGCAGTGCACATTTTGACGCAATTAAAAACAACACAAATATATAGACAAAATGTAATAACTTCACAAACTTAATATAAATTGATTAATTTGAATTGTATAACTGAAAATAATATTTCCTTATCATAGATTCCTGGTGGATGCAGATGTGCCGAAGCGAACAGAATTATAATATAGCGTCATAGATGGAGCACCGGACGCACGCAGAGAAAATGTCAAAATGATACGCTTAAAATAAAATTATCTCTGCAGCAATAAAGATTCGTTATTTTTGTTTCAAGCTGAAACTGTATCAGTAATTAATTAGAGTTTGATATGTTGCCTATTAAAAACGTTGGATGGGTTTTCGCTTAACATAGGCAGCAGAAATCCAGTTTTCTGTTAATTTGTCGGTAGGTAACGTTGTGCGACGCCTAGCAATAATAAATATAACAAGCTTTAATATTTTCAATATCTACAATTACATCATAATCGATATTATACAATTTTCAAACCAATATAAATATATTGGATGCCATCTGAAGTACTTCACGAATCACGAATTTGGGGTTTCATGTTGCAGTTATTAGAAAATGTTGTTTCATAGATCGAGTGCTGTTATGCTGGAGAAACCAGGATCACAATAAGCGATGTCAAGTGATCCAACCACCTATTTCAAATTCGTATATTTATTTTCAAAATGCTCTCCTAATACATACGCGCACATATATTGTTTAGGATTAGGATTTAGTTCAAGTATAAAAATAGAGGCCAATGCGATGCGTTTCTAATTTCCAAGGTATAAAATTTATAGGCAAATTATAGCAAACAAAACACACCAAAAGTATTATATTTATGTAGTGCGCATCGTCACACTCTCTCAAATTATTAGACAGACATAGCCTAAGATTTATAGTTATAACCGAATTGAATCCCTCCGTCAAACAAATCAAGTCATTTTTATTTTCTGCGTGTTTAATACAAAGCTAAAGTATATTTTGCAATGTTCTTAAAATTTAATCAAAATGACATTTACAAAAATATATTTCCTCAAATCATATGTTATAATATAGAAAGTCATAATCGTTTTATTAAAATGATGACAGAAAATATAATTTCACCTGTCGGATAAAAGCTTTCCAGTAACCCTTTTATAAACTTCTGTAGCAATCTTAAAAGCTTAGCAGGATCTTGCCAAGCCCAAAGCGTATATATAATACGTTGTTCTTACCCAGCGACAGCAGAAGCAAGAAGGACGAAGGGTGCGAACTGCAGCCTGTTCACATATGCAGTGGTGGTTGGAGTCGAGTAACTGAAACCAACTGTCGGGCGAATTAGGGCTCAGACTCCACACACCAATGCATATGCTATAACCAGACAAGAAATATAAATAAAATAATACACAATAAAAAATAGTACAACTCCAGTCCCGCCACATTAGCCACTACATAGCATGAAAGCTTCTTCACTGATAGTAGGCCTATGACTTGCCACAACCCATCTGGCTTTTCTGATCTTGTCACCATCAAAACAAAATCTAAAAACCGTTTTGATGTTGACAGTGACATTCGTCTCTGGCTGTATCAAAGACTGTGCCCCATATAAGAAACCTTGCAAGGCAGTCCCAATTGCAAGATTCCCATTGATTGTATACTAAAAAGCTTGGACTTCTTTTTGTCTCTATATAGTTTGAGTTTTTTTGGATGGTGAACAGGGCACGAGTGCAATAAGGCGCCAGAAGGGGGCCACGAGCCATAAAAGATTGGGAACCACTGTTATATGGCATCCATTGGTGAGGATGTGCAGACGTATAGTAACGCATAAATCCGTTGCATACACTTATTTACAAGCAGGTAATATTGACGAACAAATTTTGAATGACAGAAACTAAAAAAATTATTTACACAACAATAATTACTTAACGCACGCACACACACAAACATACAATCGGGAGTGTAAAAAGCGAGACCTAAAATCAATTACTCTGTAAGAAGAAAAATATACAAACAAATAAAAAAACAATGAATAAATTCTTTTGCCACACCAAATTAATAATATTATGAGGATTTCTGAATTGGATACCGAATTAGTCAAAAAGAGTTATGTACTGTGGATAGAAAAGAAATATTCCTAAAAAAATATCGTCAAGCTGATTATAATTGGAGTCACCTAATGCCAAATTGCCCAATCAGAATTGCCAGGTTGAATGCATGGAGAGGTGGTCTAGATCTGCTTCACTCACCAGATAGAAGCAAAACCTATCCAAATTAACTCCAAATTATTTTAAATACTATTATTCAATAAAAGTGCCGGTAATTAAAATTAAGTAAGACACTGTACCATGGCCATGTTGCTGCTTCATCGTTCAGTTTTGTTCAAGATACCCTATTTCAGTGAATTTATGATAAAATATTTCATACATATTAATTATTATATACGTTTCAGAACATCGAATGATCTGGGGATATTTTCCAAGGCCAAATCCAACTTTGTCACAGGTTGCAGCTTTCATAAGCGTACTTCATGACGTCGGAATATCAGTTAAGTTTCATTCTTCGACATGTTCAGAAACAAACTGGAATCATGATTACATATACGAGTGTAACAGTGTGGTGTAATATGTGTTCTTTGTTCAACAGCTTTTTTGACACAATATCGCAATTATTTTTGCTCTTTAGGAGCCATAGGTGAATGTGATTAATTGCTTGTTGAAAAAAAAATTGCCGTGCGAGATCTGACTGAGTTTTTTGGCGATAGGGGGTTCAATTGCAGAATGACGATTGAGCAATGAATTAACATTAAATTTTGTGTCAAACTTGGAAAAACGGCGACTGCGACTTTGAAGAAATTGTGTGATGTTTATGGAGATTCTTCCATGTCCAGAACAAGAGTTTTTGAATGGCACAAGCGATTTGTGGGATGCAGGGAGGATGTGGAGGATGATTCGAAGTCAGGAAGGCCTTGCACTTCCACAACTGATACCAACATCGAAAAGGTATCAGTTGTGAGTTCAGTTGTGAAAGGCAGTTGATTCGCAGCGACCGTCGCTCAACAATTCGCGTCATTGCGAAGTTGGAAAAGACAAAAAAAAAACGGTTCGCACCAGTTTGGTTGACACTTTTGGCTTGTGAAAGGTGAGTGCCAAAATGGTGCCAAGGCTGTTGACTGAGGAGCAAAAAGCTCAACGATTAAATGTTGCCCAGTTGACATGCATTTTTCCAAGTTTGACACAAAATTTAATGTTAACTCTTTGCCCAATCGTCATTCTGCAATTGAACCCCCTATCGCCAAAAAACTCAATCAGATCTCGCACGGCAATTTTTTTTTCAACAAGCAATTAATCACATTCACCTACGACTCCTAAAGAGCAAAAATAATTGCGATATTGTGTCAAAAAAGCTGTTGAACAAAGAACACATATTACACCACACTGTAAAAGTGTTGATTACCAATGGTTAATCGTGTTGCGCAATCTGTGACGTCAGTCTCGTTTCTTTTTAGCCACACCTCGTATACTAAACAAAATGAAGGCAAATTTCCGAGTTTTACAGATCACATTTTAATGAAATGGCTTAACAGATAATTTATCTGAGAGATGCCAAGCTATACATATATATTATATCAACAAATTATTCGATTCACAAGAAATTTTGTTAATTATGACCACATTTTTTCTAAGTAGTACAAGGGTAGTTAATAATAAAATCAATAATAAGTTAAAAAGAAATAATTGCAACGACCTAAGATAATTTAAAATCAGACAGAAACGACGTTATTTATTTACCAATAGCTTATTCGAGCTGGAAATTAAGGCCACATGCACAGTGAATTTAATTTGAGCTTCAGACTCGCAAGAATTCGGAGCACCGACGCAAAAAACAACAACAATCAGGTTCCCTCAATGACATGACTGCCAACAGGGCCAATACCAAATGTGTGGAACACCACCTATCCTATAGCAACAGTGAAAATATAACTTTTTGTTCTTGGAGTGATTATGTCTGCCGCTTGATCTATACCGGTCTCTTTGTTGTCGCGGCTTGTCACATCCACGGCAACATTTCAGTATGAATCAACGAGGGTCGCAATATCTCACCCTTTGTGATGAATGGCTTTTCCCCCACAAATACCAATTATAACATATATATAACAACAAGCTGGAGGCATCGTCGCCTCGGCATTCAACTGCGAGACGACTTTTGCTATCTTTTGAAATGTGAATGACATCTGACAAAAATGAAGTTTGAGGAAATCAGCCGGGATATCGCAAAAGGTAATAATTTCTATAACATGTGACGATATTTGAAGATAAAATTAAAACAAAATTACTTTACGACAAGGCAACAAATTTGAGGTCGAATTTTAATTTATTACATGCCAATAGGGCTGGGCATTTTCGAATACCTTGTGATTTCAGAATCGAATCGAATAATTTTTTCGAATCGAATCGAATCTCGAATACTTGAAAATATATAATTGTAAGCGACTTTATTATAGTAATTGGTTCTCTCAACAAATGAATTACTGAAGACATAAAATGATTCACTCAGATAGATTACTAAGCGTTCACACAGAATAACAAACACGTTTTATCAATAACTCACTACAGAAAATAGTCATATGTTAGAATTCCGTTGAAAAAATATGACTCGAATGAAAAAAAAAATGGGGGAATTCACCTCGACCATTAGCGGAAAGATAAAAACAAGATGGCGGCGATTCGAAATTTAGCTCTGAACCGATTCGAATAATTTACTATTCGATTCGATTCGAATATTCGATTCGAAATGCCCAGCCCTACATGCCAACCAGTGCTTCGGTGAGATCCACAATTAAATCTTTTCTGAATGGAAGAGCGAAATTTTTCAAATTTCGGCGTTCTTTGGTTGAAACTCATTGTACATTCCATTTCAGATAACTTAAACATATGAAGAAGAAAATGCCACAAGCTCGTAAAAGCAAATGGATAGTGCAATACACTCCCCTTCTGCCATAGACTATTCTCTCCTTGAATATCGAGGGATGTCTATAGACTAGAGCAGTGTTTCCCAACCCGAGTCCGAGGTCTCAAATAAGTCCGCGGAGCGTTTGAATGAGTCCGCAACGAGCCAGAAATTCGTGCGAGCCGCAAACGATTTTGCGGAACTTAACATCAGCCAATTTACAATTTACGTTGGAATTTACATAAAACATAAAAAGCAAGTTTATTCACATAACATTAATCGAGTCAATAATTACTCGTTACTGAGTAGGGCTGGGCATATATTCGAAT